AGTCACATGCTCTTAGGCCAGATGGCCTTAAAAACTGAATTCGTATCAACAGGTCTTTCAGAAACTTCCTAACTGGTTTCTTTCAGAATATGCACAGCAGAGGTCTAGAATTCTTTTAAACACTCCAGGGTAGGAATGCTGCTAATTACCAGTCAAAATCTTGGCTGTGATTAGGTGACACTAGGGTTTCATAAATACTAATATATAAATACTACTATCTGACTTGGCCCAACTAGAATTCATTTTACATAGGTAATGCCTGATAACCAGTCTTTGGCATTTGTGTGTGTTTAACATTTATTTTTATTAACTGCCAAGGGGAAAGGATTCAAGCCATAATTCTCTGTCTGAATTAGTCCTCCGATTCCTTAGGCTTTTGTTTGGGAAAGAAATTCAGGCAGCAGCGTTTGCCTCGAGCTCTGATTTTGGTAGCGAGTTATAGGAGGCAGAGTGCTCGCTGTGAAGACAGCACACAGGAGCTGGAAGCAGGCACTTCCTGCTTCCACCCAATCACTGTTGCTCAACCTGCTAAGAACAGTGAGTGTAACAGAATGGTGACAAGTTTAACAGAATGGTGACGGGGTTGGGGAATTTCTGTCTCACTGTTGAGGGGGAAGGGGAAGGTAGGGTCATCCCATCATGCCAGGAAATGTGCAAATATGGCCAAGTGGTTTCCAGTCATACACAGAAGGGTCTCCTGGACCTCATTCATCTAATTACAGCTGACCACTAAAGCTGGTTCCAATAAAAATTTCCTGTTTCCTCCTTACCACATTTGTCTGTTGTTTGCTTAGGGAAAACACGGATATAAAGGTGACATTGTATTCCCATTGTGTTTTTAGCTTCTGATGGCATTTTTGCCTGGTGGGGAATGTTTTTTAAAAATTATCCTTATAGCCTGGCTGGTGTGGCTTAATGGTTGAGCCTTGGCCCATGAACCAGGAGGTTACTGGTGATTTCCAGTCAGGACACATACCTGGGTTGCGGGCTTAATCCCCAGTAGGGGGTGTGCAGGAGGCAGCTGATAGAAATTTCTCTCTCATGAGTGTTTTTCTCTCTCTCTATTCCTCACCCTTCCTCTCTATCTAAAAGCAATTTTAAAAAATAATTTCTTTAGCCCAGCTGCGGTGGCTCAGTGGTTGAGATTCAACCTGTGATCCAAAAGATCATGGTTTGATTCCCAGTCAGGGCACATGTGCCTGGGTTGTGGGTTCGATCCCCAGCAGGGGGCCTGCAGGAGGCAGCCGATCAGTGACTGACTCTCTCATCATTGGTGTTTCTGTCTCTCTCTCCTTCTCCCTTCCTCCCTCTGAAATCAATAAAAATATATTTAAAAAATTAAATAATTTCTTTTAAAAAAATTATAGTTTTCACAGCACCACTCACATACACTGAAGGAAAAGCCATACCCTGATTGCTGGATAGAGGTCTCCAAAATGCAGGCATGGGGTAGTTCATGTGACTGAAATAATGAAACATACATGGTTTTCTTTAATATTTTGAATGTTGTTTATTGTTATATATATTTTTAAGGATAGAACCTATCCTGTTCATTTCTGTAAGTCTTAGTTCTCTATTCCACTATGGCATTTGAATGGAAAGAAAGCTCATTTTTAAGAAAAAGTGGTTCTTTCTCAGCTTATTTCCTCATCTGTATGTTTTGGAGATGATACCAGTAATCCACATTTTAGAATCAATATAAGGAGTATGAATTAATATTCATTAAATGCTTAGATAGGGCCTCATACAAAATAAGCACTCAGTAAAAGTTAGCTGTTGATAAAATTGTGGGGACGCATCTGGAAAGACTGCCTTGAGAAGGCAGCATTTGGGCCAGGCCTTGAAGGATGAATGAAATTTGACATTGAGAGGATGGGAAAGCATTTCAGGCCATAGTAGTCACAGAGATGTGTGGGAAGATGAGCATCAAGTTTACTTTGGCTGGGATGTAGAGGGAGCTGAAATATGAGGTTGGATGCCATATGAAGAGCATTGACAGCCACGCAGAGGTGTTTAGACTTGATTTTCTAAGCAATAGAGTTCCAGGAAGTTTGTGAGGGAGAGACAAGATCAAAACTGTAACAGGAAATTTGATGAGCCAGAGTTGGGTGGATTCTTGGAGAGGAGAGAATGGGAGTCTTGGGGTTTTGGTTAGGAGACAAGAGTAAAAGTAATGGCCTGGATCAGGGAGGTGAAACTGGAAAGGGTATTACAACCTGACTTGCATGTGCACATTAGTTCATTACTTATTAAGTAAAATGAAAATTTTATTTTTAAAACTCAGTACTGTACTTATATTGGATTGCTACCATTTTCTCTTGGTACTAATTGGAAAGGGGTGGGAATGAAGTCAATAACTAGTACATTTATTTTAAAAATCACTGACAACTTTTTACAATTTTTACCATTTTCTGATTTTGATCTCTGCAGTAACAGCAGGGAAAGCTCTCATTTGTTATGCAGCCTAAGTTTTCATGAATGGACATTTTTCAATATAAAATAGATTCAGGCTTATCTATTTCCCATGGCTTCATATCTGAAAGAAAGACACATTCTCATCTATCTTAGGGTGAGGAAAAGGAGTGGTAAAATGACTGGATCGGCAGTTGTTGAAAGCTGCTTTTTTCATTATAAGCCTTTAATTCAGTTACTGCTGGAGAGGCAGACCTTCACCTGTTCACATCATTTTTTCTAACCAAGTGGCCCTAAGAAGAGTGACGATTTGGACACAGTCTTTTAGATCAGTTTTTGGTCATCTGGGAGCATTTCATTTTCTTAGTGGTGGAAAATGAATAAGAGAGTGACGGGACAGCAATAGACATTTATGAGTTCCCGAAATCACACAGGTCCTTAAGTGAGTAATATATGTGACAACACTTTGTAATTTGTGAAGCATTATATAAATAAAGTCAAGATATTTTTAAAAAATAATACTCTATATCTCTCGTGCCTCTTGGCATAAAGCCATTTTAATAAGGACATTGGCAACGTGCTCTAAACAAGTGGCAGTATTGGCTGGCGCACCATGTCTAATTAAGGCTTTTGGGAGTGTGCTGTGACCTGGTGCCGTGACCTGGTGCCATGTGTGAACATAGCCAAAAAACGTGCACACTGAGAACTTCTAGTTACTGACCACTTGTTAAGTAAAATATTAAGAAAGCAAGAATATTTACTTTCTAACAATCTATTGTTCAATGTCTAAAAATGTATTCAACAGAAATAACCTCTAAATGGTTAGAAGTGTGAGTTCCTTAAAATATTTAAAAAAACAAAAACATTCAGTCTTTTTCCTTTCCATGTCCATCTTGAGCAGGAGGCCGTGGGGACAGAGGAGACATAGTTCCTTATTCTTGAAAATAAAATGTCCAGCCGTTACCTATTTTCCCAGCAGTATAGTTTTCTAGAAAATGTTTATTTCACGATTCCATTTAAAGCTTTCTTAATTTCTTTGTGAAACAAGGTATGGATATAAGTACATGAAAAAACGTTCAGCGCAGATCATTCACACTGGACGATTCTATTCATTCTTTCCTTCAGTGCAAACATGGAGTTTCTTACATGCTATGTCACTATCCCTCACCCCCAATTCAGCCCTGAGTCTGGCGTCTCATGCTGCCGCTTTTATAAGGCCCTGAAAAGATTCATGGAAGTAAACTTGGCCGTGTCATTTTTTTCCGGCCTGGTACCATAGTTGTTTGTAGTTTGGGTATTAACTAACACATCGAAAGACAGCAGGTTGTTTTTTCTCTTTGGCCTGTTAAAGAAGGATATTCCTACCTGCTTTAATGAATTTAAGTGTTCATAATTACCTTTATTTAAAGGCCAAGGAACTCTTGAAATAGGCCCAAAAGCCTGCTTTGAAACCACAAAGTTACTAAACAAAAGTAAGATACATACGTCCCCAAGATGGCCTCCCATCTGGCTCAGAGGAGAGATACTAAATGAAGGTTTGAATTTGGAATAAATTGAGCAATGTTGAGACGTTTATAAATGAGCGAATAGCCTTAGACACCTACGTCGTCTCATAGCCTGAGGAAGGTGGGAAGAGGGCTCTCCTGCCCTGGCCGGGTTGGTTCAGTGGGTTGGCCTTTGTCCCTCCACCCGGAGGTGGCTCCTGGTCAAGGGCACATGCCCTGGCTGTGGGCCGCATCCCCCGTAGGCTTGCTGGAGGCAGCCGGTCCATGTTGCGCTTTCACATCAGTGTTTCTCTTTCTCTTCTCCCTTCTCTCTCTCTCAAAACAAAAAAAACACAACAATGTTCTTTGTGCAAACAGAAACTCATGAATGTGCCCTGACCTCTGTGAGTCAGTTTTAACAGAATTTGACTGTCTGTGCTTGAATGAGTTTGAACATTCTACGTCAGTTGCTCTTGGCCTTTCTGTTTATCAATATTATCTGCAAGATGTTAATCACTGGGAAATAGGAGCTCTCTTAGGCAGTTCAGCCTCCCAGGATGTGGGATTCATTAGCAGCCTGGGCCTCAAGCTCCCGCAGGCTGCGTTTAAAGGCAGTGTCAGGGTGCCTTCAATGGGGCCTTCAGTGTCATCCCACCAGGTGGCAGAAGGTCCGGTCCTTGGGCCAGGCTATCCAGGGTGTCAGATGTCTTTGGTGGCCTTCTGTCGATCTGAAAAGGAAACCAAGTGAGGCCATCCAGACTGAAAATTCATTATTTAATCCCTCAACTTTCTCATTAGGTCCTATTGTCATAATCATTTATAACCAGAACATAGAAGCAGCGTAGAGTAACTTAGTGCTGGGACCCCATTCGTTTTTTAAGGAAGTATGGATAATTATATGCATTTTTAAAAGTCTGGAAAGATGCACAAAACTTTAAACCATTTAAATTAAGAATATATATATTTTTTTTTGCTTACTTGTCATCAACAGACATCCATGTTTTGCTTATATAACAAAATCAGGTTTATTAAGGAGGAGGAAGCAAGGAAGCAAGCTGAGGTACACGTGACTAACCTTTTTATCTTTCTTCTGTTCTGTTGCAGAAATTGAAGCCAAAGAAGCTTGTGATTGGCTACGGGCAACAGGTTTCCCCCAGTACGCACAGCTTTATGAAGGTGAGCCAGGAACACCATTTTTAAAATATTATAATGTCCTTGGTTCATAATTGTTATTGCTCTGTGACTTATTTTCAGACATTTTCTTATTTACTTAACTATTTCCTTCATAAAAAGAACAATTTAGGCCCAGCCAGGCGTGGCTCAGCGGTTGAGCGTCAACCTAGGATCCAGGCAATTGGGGTTCGATTCCCGGTCAGGGCACATGCCTGGTTGCGGGCCTGATCAATGACTCTCATCATTGATGCTTCTATCTCTCTCTCTCCCACTCCTTTTCCTCTCTCTGTAATCAATAAAGATATATTTTTTAAAAAAATTTTTAAACAAACAATTTAGCAAGCACCTAAGACCTCCACCACTCAAAACAAAAGCTAGGCCCAATGGGCATGGCTCAGCTGTTGAGCGTCAACCCATGAACCAGGAGATCACGGTTCGATTTCCAGTCAGGGCACATGCCCGGGTTTTGGGCTCAATCCCCAGTAAGGGGTGTGTAGGAGGCAGCCAATCAATGACTCTCTCTCATTACTGATGTTTCTATCTCTCTGTCTCTCTTTCCCTTTCCCTTCCTCTCTCTGAAATCAGTAAATTCATAATAAAAATTTCTTAAAAACACAAAAGCTAGGATCTTGGTAATAACACGCCCACATGCTCTCCCATTTGGTCCCTCTGCCACTCCCCTATTCAAAGTCAATCACCCTGAAACTTCTGTTTATCTTTTTTTTCTTTTTTGCTTTTATGTAGTTTTAGTGCATTTTCCTAAAATATATTTTTATAAGCTTGTTTTTCTTTTATAAAAAGGGTATTATGCTCTATGTAATCTTGTAGGATTTAATATTTTCACTTCTTATGTTAAGATTCTTCCATTCTGTGCTCACTGGACTGTGTGTCCCTGTCCCTGTACTGCTTTCACTATTGTATAATATTCCATCGTGTGACTATAGCACATTTTATTCATGTACTCTCTCTGGTGGGCATTTTGGTTTCTCTGTTTTGCTTTTATAAACTGTGCTATTTTGAACATTCCTGTGCATTCTTGTACTCTTGTGGTACATGTGTAGTAAGTAACTTATCTCGCATGTATACCTAGAAGTAGGATTACTGGGTAATAGAGAATATGTATATTTGATTTTATAATGCAAGTTTTTAAAAAATGTACTGATTTTCACTCCTACCACTTATTCTCAACACTTGATAGTGTCAGACTTTAAGTTTTGCCAATCAGATGGGTATAAAATATCCTACAGAGTTTGACTTCCATTTCCCTAAACATTAATGATACAATGCACGTTTCTTCCTGTCATCTGGCCAGATGTGTTCGCTCTTCTGTAAAATCTGTTTCCCATTTTTCTCCTGAGTTGATTGCTTTTCTTGATGATGTGTAAGAGCTCTTCATTTTAAATGCTAAGCCTTTGTTGGTCATGTGTTGCAGTTTATAATTAGGCTTTTCACTTTTTTAGATTGTCATTTGATGAATATTATTTCTTCTATGGCACTCAATTTTTTAATTAAGAAAAATGGACCTTCTTAAAAAATAATTAGGACCCGCGCTGAAGTTTTACTACTTCATTTTCTCATCAGCGCCCTGGGGATCAATGGGGTGATGAGGAAGGATGAGGAGCACCCCGAGTCTCAATCTTTCTCAGCCTCTGGCTGCCCTGTATGGGTGGAATGTTCTCATGCTCTGCACAGAGAGATGAATAGGCTGTTCGTTTAAATGAGAGTTTTTATTATTCTCTATATTAAATCATTTTTTAGAAATTATAGTTGTGAACTAGTGATCTCCATTTTACAAGTAATTTTCAAGTGAAGGTTGGGTGAATAGTGAAGTGGTTCTGAAATTGAGAGTAAATTAAATTACTTCCAGGGCTTCTTCCAATTGAACGACTATTGAAAAATCTCAAAAAGCAAACCTAATTTTGGTTGATTTACATTTAAAAAGACATCTTTTCCATCAATGAAGGAAGGAGGTGCTGTGAGACAGTTAGCCACCACGTGACAAAATCTCTAAAAGATCCAGTTGAAATGATGTCACTTAAAAGTTTTTTTCACCGGGGATGCTTAACTTACCTTCTCACAATAAAGAGTGATTTTAAAACGTCTTAGTTCTCTCCTTCTAGGGTAATACCACAAGCAGACTGCCTCCTGTAACAGTGGCAGTGGGCTCTCAGTTGGAGCTAGGGGTCACTACCAGCCTCTCTAACCCCTGAGAGGGATTACAGCAGCCCAGGCCAAGAATGGACAGAGCATAGTGTGCAAGCTTGGAGGTGCTAGACACGGTCAGCAGGTCGCCTGGAAGAGGGTGTGGAGTTGGGCGGGTGCTTCCCAGGAGCAAACTGAGCGGAGACCGTAGAGATTATTTCCTTTCCCCAGCTCACTCAGCTGCATTCATTCATTACCTAACTTACAGTACCTGCTCTTCCTTGTTGTAGCCCAGATTGAATGCTTAATTTTCCCATGAAGATGGATTCGGAATTATTTTATTGTTAGACTGTGGAAAACCTTTTACTGCTCCTCCATTTCAGTGAATATCTCCCAATCACCTTTTTTCTTTTTTAAGACTCTTGGTTAGCCTGCGTGTTTATTCTGATGGAGCGGCTTATCTTTCCTTTGGAGAGGATGTTTGACCTATTAACATGGAGAGTATCTCAGTCCTTCAGTAGGGCTTTGGGGCGGGGCAGCCTTCTATTGGGTTTTCAACTCACAGTCTGCTGGGGATGGGGGAGATAATTGCATTTGCAGTGGCAGCCACAGGGCTGTCCTTTGTCCCTTTTGTTCTCCTATCTAGAAATTAAATTTCCTCCAATTATGTCCATTCTTGGTGTTGATTTGCTGCCAAGCAGCACTTTCTTGTGATGTGTATGTTTGCTAAGACCCAGTTCCAGTCTCTGTCTTAACACCCTCCCAAATCCTAATAAGCAGACTGCATTTTCACAGGTTACATTTCGGGGTCCCTTTGTGTTTACAGGTCTTTTTGAAACAGAAGCCTACTTTTTAGGTATACTGTTCTGGGCTGTCATTTCTCCCCTTCTTCCTGCCGCTGTGTGCAAGGCGCATAGCACACACACTGCACACACCAGCCCACACATTCCTCGTCTTCCTGTTCAGCTCTATTTTGGTCCTTGGCAGTTTTTACTTCCTGCCTTTAAACCCAAGCTGGAAGTTTAAATCTAACCTGAAGGTCTCTGGGAACTTCTTCTATTCACCAGTAAATCATCACCTTTTAAAAGCCAGTCCTTTCAGGAAAGAGTTTAGGCAAATAAGAGAAAATTATTGATTTAATTATTTCACTCCTCTCTTGCTTTTAGTCCTTGCTGACCCTAGAATTTTATTTTATTTTTTTAACAAAATTTTAAAGTTAATTTGGATCAGGAAAGTAATCTAAAGTATAGCCCTGGGTAAACTAAGTTGGGAATTGCTAAAATAACATAGTTGCCGTCTCATATACATGTAACAGCGTGTGAGCTTTTTAATTTACATTTATAGATCTGATGCTGTACTCTAGAGGTATTCAAAATACATTCTTTAATAGCAGTTCTGTTATTTAATACTTAGAGTTTCTGGTGTCTGTTCATAGTGAATGCAGTGGCACAACCTTTAAACAGCTTGCTTGTGTTTACTAAGTTTACGTTGGTACCATTAATCATTTGTCTAAGAGACCGGGTCTCTAATGATGAGATACAATCCTACAATACTAAATTTCATACATTTCTTCATAAATCTTTGGGCTATAGCTATTTCATTGGTTTTCCTGTGTTATCATTCAGGGAACAGCATGAGTAATCTCACTCCAGCCTTCAGAGAAAAAGAATTGACTGTAACACTCATGATAGTTTTCAACATTGTTTAAAAAAAAAAATGTGGAGGGGGAAGGTGTTCTTAAGTGTCATCTCAAGCAAATAAATTACTCATGAAGCATTCTTTAATGCATGGGAAGGCCCATTATTTCCCCTAAAGCTGGGCCTCTGAAGGAGAGTAACCTGCTTTTATCTCATGGCAGTTCCACAGCTGTTGTGAATTTCTAGTGGGGCTACTGGTCTTCTCCCTACTCTTCTTGGATTGTGTTTTCTTTGTTTTAGGGGGTGGGGGTTGAACAAAGGATAGAAAAATGAATTCTTCCACTGAGTTGGCTTTCTTCCTTCCTGCTCCTCAGTTCTGATAAGAACTCCTCGGTGTTCTAGAAGTATTGAACTCTTCCAGAGATGAAGGGATTTGGGGTCCTGTGTTCTGTAGCAGCTTTATAACTGGCCTCCTCTTTTAGGAAGATTTATATAAACTCCTAAAAAGCCATGTGGAAGTGCTGATGTGTTTAAAAATAGCATATCCTGAATTCTCTTCAGCTTTGATGTCCTACAAATGGTTGGATTTGGTTTACCATCACTTGCCAGTGTTCTCTGCATCTTTCTTTGGCCCGATTTTCCATGATCTCTTCCCTGGTCAACTGTGAGCAGAGACACTATAGGGAAAAAACAACCCAGCCACATTAAAAGGGGGAGCATCCTTCTGGTATTCATTCTAGCTTAAATTATAATTTATGGCATGGCTCTATTGCCTGCTGATTTGTTTAAAGGTGGGAAGGGTGTTTTGAACCACTTAACTTTGACCAGAAGAGATACCTTAGTCTCCAAACCACTTTAGATCCTAAGCTCCTGTAGGGCACTGATTCAGAATTGTCTTAAGCTGCTTTACTCTCCTATAGCACCTGATCGGGAATGAAGTGTTTGTTCTGCATACAGTAGGCATTCAAAAGTACTTTGAAGTAGTTCTCCCCCCCCTTGCTAAGCTGGGCTAGTTTGGCAAGAACCTAGAGTGCTCAATAAATACATTTGTTTTTATTTTTCTATGTATTTGTCTTTGCAGATCTCCTCTTCCCTATTGATATTTCCTTGGTCAAGCGAGAGCATGATTTTTTGGACAGAGATGCCATTGAGGCTCTATGCAGGTAAATGGAAATGCTTTGGGCATTTTTCTTTCCTTTTTCTTTTTCTTTTTAAGAACAATGTGCTTATCACCAAGATGGTTTTTGTTTGCTTTTATTCTAACTAATTATGTCAGGTCTTTGATTAGTAAATGGGTATAGTGATTTACTTCATTATAAATCATAGGCCTTTTAATTAAACTAAATAAAATTATTTAGTATTGCCATTGAAATAGCACTGCCCTAGGAGGTACTTAAATAGTACCGATCCATATTTAATACCATGTGGATGCTCTAACTTCAGGTGGTTCAGAAACTTGGAACAGGATTTTTAAAAAGGCATTGTAATTGACTGCACTGCCCCAACCAGGTGCCCTAACAGAGTCAGAGCTGCTGTTGTATTAGGTGGAAATAACACGTTCAGAGGAATAAGTGGGGGCTGGGGGGTTATGACACTCTAGCGTCAGGAGGACCGTTGCTTGAATTCCAGGAAAGCTTCTCTGAACCGGTTCCGGTTCCGCTTTTGCAGGTACAAAATAGTAACAATAGGATTAAATAAGGCTGTAAAATAACTCCACCCAGCCTTTAACATACAGCGGATAGGCTGTGTGAGCACTGATGGGAAGTGTGACTAAAACTCAGACATCCTTGTTCATTGTGCTGATGGATCTTCAGCCCTGGTTTTATCGAAACGAAAATAATAACACACACAGCAGACAATGATGGCCACTGGTGACCCTTCCAAACGTCATGACATTTCATTCATCTGAAGTAATTCATCCTTCGTAATTTTTCTGAAAACCTATAAGCCACAAAATCTGGCTTATAGGAAAAAAAATCACACATAGACAAAATTCACATCTAGATTTGATTGTAAGGTTAAAATAATTTTTTTCTGATTTTAGTATTTAACTTGGAAAAACGTTACTAAGATAGAATAATATCCAGTATTTATTTCCACTTTGTCGGGAAAGAAAGCAGTGGTATATGTGAAAGGACTATTTCTTGCCTTTCTTGTGCAATACAATGTTTTTGAAGCAGTGGTTTTAAGGAAAGATAGGTAGGATGCAAGAGACTAGTTCTCATGGTTTAAGAGAGAAAAAATGCCCTGTTAGCCACAGAGACACTCACTTTTCAAACCCAATCAAATGACTGCTTGGAAATGCCCAGGGTTTGTGCACGTGTGAGAGAAACCCAGGTGTAGGATCAGCTGCGCTCTGGCATAAAGGGCGGGCAGGTGAGGAGGGAGGGCCGGCAGCCTCTGGAATGGAAACTGCCGCAGACATTCCCAGCATGTTTTCATGCTTAGCTGTGCGGCAGAATTAATTTATTTTCAGTTCATCATTGGTGATAACACATAGAAGTGAGGCCACTCCTGCGATGATGTATCCTGGGAAATATTTGCACATTGGGTCACATCACCCGTTTCACACCTTTTATGCCACTTAGTGGCCCCCTGAACAGCAGGCAGGAATTCCTGGGCCATAAAAATATCACTGCAGCATTGCCACCCCAAATGATTTGTGAATTTTATTTTTTTTTTAAATATCAATTTGAAGTTTTGTTTCCCTGCTCTGGGGGGAAAGGCGTCCTCTGTGCTTTGTGATTTCCACAGGCCTCCTCACTGTTCAAGAGGCTTCCTCCCTTTAAAAGGAAAAGTCTGTACTCCTGGATATTTTGTGAGAAGCCTGAAAACAATCGGCGCTTGGTTTTGTTTGGACTCTGCAGTATTCTGCCTGGGTTTGGTTTCCTCTTGTGCACAGAATAACATCTCACAGGTTACACGTGAGAAGGGAAAGCCACGCTGACTGTCAAAGTGCTTTAACTCTGATGCCCAGGTCGGAGCATGTGGGCAAAGGCTTGAGCTTGCGGTCTCAGAATTCACAATGACACTCGTCAGCTTGTCTATAATGGAAAACCCCAGGGCTGTCGTTCACATGTTCACATAAATAGACTTAGTGAAAAATAACTCTCCTTTGAGAGGCCTAAAAAAATATTCCAGAAAAAAAAGGTGGGAGCCATCTCCAGGGTAGTTCATGCATCTTCTTCTGAAATGCGCGACAGGTTCGGAGCTGTTGGCAGAGTAGTTGGAGACACCTGCTTTACTGATTGTGTTACATTCATCTTACCTGCTACTAGCCTCTTCCATACACTTCTCAGCCCATGAATTTCAGGGCCCAAGCACACTGTGAGTCTGTCTATAGTGTGGTCTGAAATTTTGCCTTGTTGAAATACTTTGAGTAGTTGATTGTAAATACAGATGTTAATATCATTACAGAAACTCAGTTGAAGTTTTGCTCTAATAAAACATTAAATATTTCAAATATTTTTACTCTAAATAAAACATTTTAAAATTTACTTAAAGTAATTCTTACATGATTTTCCTTTCCTTCCACCACCCCCCAACACACACACAGAAATGTTACAAGAGCTCACACACTAGTGTTCTGTTTAAAGATTTATTATAAACATTTGTACACTTAAACTTTTGCAGATCTTCTAGCTCCTTTGGTCAAAAATCTGGTAGCAGCTGATCTCTTAACATAGTCTACTTAGGGCAGGAGGCTTGTAGACCAAAGTTTTCTTGAGAATGATGATTCTCTCTTAAATATAAAGTTTGGTAACGACAAAAAGTGATCATTATGGAACTACTCTGGTTTTCGGATTTGGAGTGCTAACCGACATTCTTACACTCACTGGTAAGGGGTTTGTGTATTTGTTTCCTTGGAGAGATTGGCATTTGTCCCAGTCCTGTTAGCTCTGCTGTCTAATCCAGCCCCGATGAGAAACCCAAGATTATGGGAGTCACATTCAATATTAACACTGGCAGAGTGACTCCCTTGTCTTGAAGCACATGCAGACCGTAATGCCAACTGTGACCTGCTGTCAGACTACCTACTGCTTGTGAAATGGTCTTTGTCTCTCCATAGTTTCTGGAAAATATTCCATACTGCTATTTTCTTTTGGAGTTAAAACTGACTCCTCCTGTAAATACTCCAAAGACTTAACATAAATAAGGTGACCATCGTATAGTGATAAATAGATATCCATACTATCATCTTCGGCCTGCACTTTGTTGTAAAACAGCCCTTGAGCCCTAGCTGGTTTGCTCAGCAGTTGGTCAGCAAACTGAAGGGTCTCGGGTTTGATGCCAGTCAAGGGCACTTTAATTACCTCGGTTGCAGGCTTGATCAATCCCTGGCCCTGTTTCGAGGTGAGTGTGGGAGGCAACCAATTGATGTGTCTTTTTCACATCAGTGTTTCTCTCTCTCTCTCTCTCCTCCCCCTTTTCCCCTCCTCCCCCTTCCACTCTCTCTGAAAAGCAATGGAAAAAATATCCTTGGGTTAAGATTTAAAAAAACAGCCCTCGAACTGCCTAAAAACTATGTAAAGAAGCCTGCCATATAGTAGGTTTTAACTTTGTTACTATTTCTGATCTATCCAGAGGGTAACAAGTAATTTTTCCAAGTAATTGCACTAATTCCAAGAAGTTCTGGTTAAGAATTGGAATGATTTTTATTTGTCAGGTCTTGGAAAATTGTTCCTTTTTCTTTCCTCACTCATCTCTTGTACTTTCCCTGTTTTCTTTTTGAGTAAGAGGCCCAGGAGCCTGCCTGCCAGGCTTTTATCAGGGTGCTTGAAGTCCCTGCAGCACAGCTCTTGAACCTTTGATGGCCCACCCCTGAGCTCCCTCCCCCTTCCGAGCAGGGTACAAGTTGCCCAGCAGATAAGACTGACTTGTTCCTGTGCTGCTGAGCCCTGTGAGGGCCCTGGGGGTGGGAACGACTGGCTTCTGGACAGATGGTGTAATACCATTGTTTTCCCACTCGTTTGAGGAATCACACTTCAGATATTGGCTGCTCCCGTATATTATCACGGTTAATATTTATTTTAGAAGGGAATGGAGAAGATACCGTTTTTTGAGTGCCAGAGCCACCATATTTTAGTCCTGCGGCCTTGGACAAGATTCGTGCCCTACATCCCCGTTTCCTCTTCTATAAACTGAAGTTTAATAGTACTATCTACACCTTAGGGTTGTTGTGAGGACCAAGGTGAGAACCACATATGAGGTATAGGCATAGTACCCAGCCCAGAGCAAGCCCCCGACCGGTCGAGCTGGAACTAAATAGGTAAGGTCCCGCCTGTGGGCATTCTTTGGAGGTCCTAAGGGACAAATGAATCCCACACAAGTCCCAGGGAATAACTTCTGGGCTTCAGAACTGAAAGGCCATTAGTTCGGCACTACCAACAGAAAAAGATGATGTTGACCTTTATAAAACTGGCCTCCTGGGTCTTTTTTGTTTGACTCAAATCTAGAGTTTGTGAAGTAAGCCCCTCTGACACCCCCATAGGCCTCCATGCCTAGTAAACTTGGTTATAAACACCACTCAACCATTAAAGCCCAAATGAAGTCAAGTGGGTATTTGGTTACAGGTGTGATTAATGAAACCCAGACCTAAGACTAACTGTAACCATTCCGGATTCTTTAAGTCTTGAAAACATTTCAGAACTAAAACATGCTGGGTATAAGTGCTTTAAATAATGAAGCCTTTTAGAGAGGGGCCTTGTACCCACTCGTTTGAAAGTCTGGACTTTTTTGTAGTTCCTCCTTTTCTTTCCCTTCCAGTCAACAGAGGATTTTCCTGAACGTAGGTGCTCTGGGTCATCTTTGTTTATTCTAAACAGGCTACCACATAACCTGTGAAATCAAAGGCTGTCTTATCAGCAGGCAAAAATGCTATCTAGCCTGTGTGTCAGAATTGTTAGACAAGTTGCAAGAGCAGGATTAGAAACGTGAAGCCTTGATGCTGTCTCATGGTCAGTTTGAATTTGTGTGAGTTAAATGCTCTTATCCTGTGAAGATGGAAGAATTGCAATTGTAGCACAAAACTAGAAGGTTGATGCTGCAAATCTGCAGACACCTTAAAGGCTCATTTGAGGAAGACTGAAGTGGTGATCAGCTGGCAAATGTTAGAAGGAATTGGGGCCTGATGGGCTATCCTTCACACTTGTGTATCATTTATTCCTGCTTTGTAAAGGGGTTTCTTTCTACAGCTATTTCATTATTTACCAGTGGGGTGTGTTTTTTACTTTAATATTTAGTTTTCAGTGAAACTAAGTTATATCCCTAAGTTTAAATTAACATTACTGTTTGACAGGGGCAAAAAAAATATTCCAAGTTAAAATATTACTCTGGTTCCAAAGAAAAATCTGACCTAAATGCTTATTTTTGAACTCTGTAAGATTTTGATCCTTGAAGCTTCAGTGTGCAAATTTGTTAATAATCATTTGCACTGTTGGCTGTAACTAGACCAGACATTATTCTATACTGAAATAAGTTGTAAAAAGAATGGGGTGTCACAGAGGGCTCAAATTTTCTTTCTGTATAAGAACTCAATGAATTTTTTTTTAACAATGAATTTTTAAACAGGCTGCCTAAGGTTATTAGTGGTTGGAGATAAGTGAAATTGCTTTATTTTTGTAAGTGAATTTTGACTTGAGATGGAACACAGTGTTTATTTTACCAACCAACAACTGCTTGGTTCCTTGTCGCTGTGACTGTTTCTTTGATAGGAGACATCACTGGCACTTACTGTGTGGAACTACCTCATGACTCAGACTAGGGATCATTGAGAGTTACTTGTTCCATGAAGACATAAGAGGCACCTGACAGTACCTTACATAGCAGTGTGCCACTGTACTATATAATAGTAAAATTAAATTTAAATGAAAAAACTTAAGAAATATAGAGGAATTTTTAAACGACTCACTTTAAAGACGTTTCTAATACTCTTCTAAGTTATAGATATTGATGGATTCAAAGAAACTCACTAAAGATGTCAACTGTTCGGGAAAGAAATATTTATCCACCCATCAGTGGTGTCCTATTTTTACTAATGTTATTTCTTTGCTCTATAGGCGTCTAAACACTTTAAACAAATGTGCGGTGATGAAACTGGAAATCAGTCCTCATCGGAAGAGGGTGAGTATATAAAATGTACAATAGGATGGGAGGAAAGGGGGCAAACCAGAAACACAGTTAGGTGTTTTGTAATAGGTTTTTGTTTTCAAACTCTTCTTTGTTCTCCAAAACATTGACATTTTTAATGTTCTAAATCAGTCAAATGTACCAAAGACTGTGTAGCCTTACGTAGGTGAGCCCAATAGCTGCAGCCAGCCAATAAATTTTGTTCTTCCTGATGTATTTTTTAATTGCAGTATAATTGACGTATAACACTATATTAGTTTTAGGTGCACGGTATAATAATTGGATATTTGTATGTATTGCGAAATGATTCCCACAGTAAGTCTAGTTAACATCTATCACTACACATAGTTAAAATTTTTTTCTTGTGATGAAAACTTTAAGATCTACTCTCTTAGCAACTTTCAAATATGCAATACGGTATTATTAACTATAGTCATAATGCTGTACATTATATCTGCAGGACTTATTTATTTATAACTAGAAGTTGGTATCTTTTTACCCCCTTCACCTGTTTCTCCCAGCCCCCCACCTCTGGCAAGCACCAGTCTTGTCTCTGTATCTATGAGTTTTCCTCTTGATTTTGATCTGAACAAATCATCTATTTTGCCTCGTTAACTTAACGCCCCTCCATATTAAAGGGGTGGGGCTGGAGGCATTGTGGTAGACTTTGCGTTGATTGCTCCCTATAGAAAGTACAGCTAGTTCCCACATGTAATAGTACGTATGTTTCAGAGCTGCAGAGATTTGAGTGAAGGCTGGATTGTGGGATAGTGAAGAATGATGATTTTGGAGGGAGGAAAGGAACTGGGAGAGAAGGGAGGGCAGGAAATCCCACACATTCTAGTCAAATGGTGACACATAACTCAGTCAGATGGTATTTTCTTCTAGGTATGAAATGTGAGTGCCTTTTATGAGATCTTAGAAGAAGTGGGTGTAGTACTGGGAGTGAGTGTCACAAATTAGAGTAAATAGGAATACGTTTGGTCCAAGAACATACTTTCTGACTGTTCAGAGCACACATTTTAATTATGCTGGAGCCCTGGCCTGCAACAAGTTGCCTTCTTGGGGAAGTTAAACCTTTCAAACAAATGAACTGGAACCTCAACACCCACTGAGCTGTGGAGAAGAGGCTACAAGTCAGCGTTTAATGCTCTTGACTCATTGTCTTTGCAACTTGGGTCATATGGTGTTTCCCACACTGAGGGGGAAGGTATGCATCATGCTGAATCATGCATGCCTTTTGACATTTCTCCTGAAAGGCTCAGATGCAATAGCTTGTGTTACAGCGTAGCCCCGAGTCCCCATAAATCAAGCGTAATCAGCAGAGATGTTACTTAGCCTTTGTGAATGTTTCGTATTGTCAGGATTGGGTATTTGTGAAGCCTTGTTAAATTGCCCGGAGCGGATCTGAGGTTGAAACTTCACAGGACACTTGTGGCATTAGCTCTAGACCCGTGTCTGGTGGGGGAGGGAATGGAAAAGAACAGGTAAGCGAGTGAAGGAAGAGATGCGGTGGCTTCTCTTGCCTGGTGTCTCTGTTAGTCTGTTAGGAGAGCTTGTGAATGTTTAGGGTGGCTAGAGACTTTAGTTACCACTCTTAGTGTTTGAGAAGTACCTTTTCAATTGCAAAAGGGGATATAAACACACACTATCAACAGACAGCAAAATTGGAGGCAGAGCAGAGGGAGTCCTACCCGCCACTGACTCCAGTTCGAAATATTTTGCATGCCTGGAATTTCGACAGATCTCAGAGGTTTCGAGCAGTTAAAAAACCCCGTAGACCCCAGAGTTTCCATAAAATAACTTATTTCACTTCAAACACTTGGACAAGCTTTTTCCTCTTACATTCTTTACACACATAGTTGTTGTTATTATTTTTAATAATAAAATAAAAGTATAAGGGAGGATCGACCATGATGGTGTATTACAAGCAGTCTCCTGGGCCCCTGGACCTCAGCACATGTCCTGCTCCCTGCTCTTTGCCTGTCCAGGGACCAGTGGCTTTCTTGTCTTTTCAGAGTGAGGATTCCGACGAGGACGAGCCTTGTGCAATAAGTGGCAAGTGGACTTTCCAGAGGGACAGCAAGAGGTGGTCCCGGCTTGAAGAGTTTGATGTCTTTTCTCCAAAGCAGGACCCAGTCCCTGGGTCCCCAGAGGATCCCCACCTGAAGAGCGCCCCGAGCCACGAAAGCATGCTGACGGACTTCAGCGAGCGCCAGGACGTGGCTTCTGTCCGCAGCCTCAGCAGCACCAGCAGCCTCCCCGCCCATGTGCCCCACGGCGGCGGCGGGGACACTGCCACTGCCACACCCCGGACTAACTCGGTCCTTAGCGTCTGCTCGTCCTCCGGCAACTTTGTAGGCAACGACGACTCTTTCTGCAGCCTGCCCTCTCCCAAGGAACTGTCCAGCTTCAGCTTCAGCATGAAGGGCCACGAGAAGAACGCCAAGTCCAAGACGCGCAGCCTGCTGAAGCGCATGGAGAGCCTGAAGCTCAAGGGCTCCCAGCACGGCAAGCACAAGGCGCCCTCCAAGCTGGGGCTGATCATCAGCGGGCCCGTCCTGCAGGAGGGCATGGACGAGGAGAAGCTGAAGCAGCTGAACTGCGTGGAGATCGCCGCCCTCAACGGCAACCACATCAACGTCCCCATGGTACGAAAGAGGAGCGTTTCCAACTCCACGCAGACCAGCAGCAGCAGCAGCCAGTCGGAGACCAGCAGCGCCGTCAGCACGCCCAGCCCTGTCACCAGGACCCGGAGCCTCAGCGCCTGCAACAAGCGGGTGGGCATGTACCTGGAGGGCTTTGACCCCTTCAGTCAGTCGGCATTCAACAACGTCGTGGAGCAGAACTTCAGGAACCGCGAGACCTACCCGGAGGACACGGTGTTCTACATCCCAGAGGATCACAAGCCTGGCACCTTCCCCAAGGCCCTCTCCAATGGCAGTTTCTCTCCCTCGGGGAATAGCAGCTCTGTGAACTGGAGGACTGGAAGTTTCCACGGCCCCGGCCACATCAGCCTGAGGAGGGAGAACAGCAGCGACAGCCCCAAGGAGCTCAAGAGACGCAATTCCTCCAGTTCCATGAGCAGCCGCCTGAGTATCTACGACAACGTGCCGGGCTCCATTCTCTATTCCAGCTCGGGTGACCTGGCCGACCTGGAGAATGAGGACATCTTCCCTGAGCTCGATGACATCCTCTACCACGTGAATGGCATGCAGAGGATCGTCAACCAGTGGTCGGAGAAGTTCTCAGATGAGGGAGACTCGGACTCGGCCCTGGACTCGGTCTCCCCGTGCCCGTCCTCTCCCAAGCAGATACACCTGGATGTGGACCACGACCGAGCCACACCCAGCGACCTGGACAGCACAGGCAACTCGCTGAATGAGCCCGAAGAGCCCTCTGACATCCCAGAGAGGAGGGATTCTGGGGTCGGGGCCTCCTTGACAAGGTCCAACAGGTAAGAGCTCTTGTTCCCTCTCCCGCCTGGGGAGGGGCAGTCAGAAAGGGACCGCTTCTGCTTGTTGTGTAGGGAAATAGGATCGTTTAAGTCTGGCATTCACAGCCCATGGAAATGCCTAAGAAAGAGGCGGACCAGGAAATCCTAACATCCTGAAAGAATGGACTTTGTTTAATGGATGTGGACTTTTAGTTGGGGAAGATTAAATAAGTGTGGATGGATGGTGGTGATGGTTGTGCGACAGTGTGAATGTACTTAACGCCCCTGAACCGTACACTTAAAAATGGTTAAGGTGATAGATTTTCTGTTATTTTTGAAGTTGAGTCATCTCAGTTCCTGAGAGATGATGCCGGTGAGCAGCCCCCTGCTGATCTGTGTCTACCTGTGAAACTGCCTTGAACTCCCTGACTTCCCCGCTCTTCCCTCGCAGGCACAGGCTGAGGTGGCACAGTTTCCAGAGCTCTCATCGGCCGAGCTTAAACTCTGTGTCACTGCAGATTAACTGCCAATCTGTGGCCCAGATGAACTTGCTACAGAAGTACTCGCTCCTGAAGCTAACCGCCCTGCTGGAGAAATACACGCCTTCTAATAAACATGGTTTCAGCTGGTAAGCGTTTAAACTGCTCTGTGAACTGTAATTGAAGATGTTTTCGGTCAGCTTCTGAGGCTGTCCCAACACTGAGTGTATAACAGTTCTATCCTTTTAATACCCTTAGCCGACCCTCCGGAAGCAGTGACACTCTGCCTTGTTGTGGCCACAGTTGATGCTGCCTGAGGTTTAGGGAATTACCTGCAGGGTTGGTTAGTTAACTTTTCAGCTCTCTCAGTGACAAATTGCCAGTTGATGGGGTGAGAACGCATCTCTCTTCCATCAAATTGTGCAGGTGCCTCCTCCAGAGGTAGGAGTAGCCAACCACAGGTAAATATATGCACAGTAGCAGATCGTATTTTGGAAAGAAGGAAGGAAAAATGTTGTTTAGATGATAAGATGTTTTGAGACCCAGTTTAAAATGCTTGATGTACTTGGCATTATAACCCTATTGTATGTTTTTAGAAAACATTTTTGATGTGACTGTTTATAGGATGACTCAAAAATCTACCTGTGCTAAAGACTAGGTTATGTTTTCTCCAACAAAGACTCTTACACAGTTAATATATCTAAGGAATTCACTACTTCAAGATATTATACAGAGTAAAATACATGTGAGGATAAAATTTATCAGATGAACTGTCCATTATTACTTAGGAAAACACGGCCCTTGGTGTGTGTAACTGTTGGGCTGGATGGGTCATGGATGTGACCTAATAGGCGCGTATCTTACCTTTTTTACAATCAGTGCAAAACAGAAGAATGTCCCGAAGTTGACATCCCAGCATTCCACAGTGTCAGCTGGGTAGCCTTACGTCTTTCTACCCGTCTGTGTGTTTGTTGTCCAGTTGCACAAGTCCTGCCTTTGCTAAAAGCGGAGCATTTCGCTGGTAGTGCTGTGGAGCAAGCCGGAGCGCCTGAGAGGCCGTGGAGCAGGGTGACGGGGCTCCCCCTCTCCTCAGGACTCGTAGTGAGTTCAACTTCGGCATCAAAGCACCTCCTGTTCAAAGGCTGTTATTATGTGAGCCTGGCTAAATACAGAAGTTGTTTGTTCTGAATGACAGAAATAAGTATTGACCGGTTTATCCCCACATGCTTCAGATTCTCGGCGGAGGTCGTAATGTGTTCTTTGCACATTCCGCTGCCGGGCCTCGCTCCCCGACAAAGCGAGTATTATGCACACTTAGAGCCGGGCTACCGTATACTTAGCTGTATGGAAATGCAGATTTGGCCCTGCGTTTCAGTTTTACCTTTCTTGCGACTATAAACAGCACCATGTCGCGGCTCTTGGTAAGCACCCAGAAGTCAGGGCGGTCTGCCTCCTGCCATGTTCCTCTGCGGAGTCACATTTCCCTGCTGGCTATTTAAAACTGCATATTTTACATTCTCGTTTCTGAGTTGTCCACCCCCTTCCCACCAAACCCTCAAGAATCTGAAAGTCCATAATGCTTGTTGAGTTCTGGTCAGTTTTTCCAGTGAGTCAAAACCGAATGTAAAAGCCTCGCATTGTGGGATCCACGGAGCGGGGAGAAACTCGACACAAAATTCTTTTCCTGTTAGTCCTGGCCCTTTCTTGTCTCATTCACTGAGGCCGCCTGTAGAGCTCGACAGCATTAAATGCCTGACACTGGTTCCTGCTGTTGCACATACCCGGGGGCTGGGCCTGGCTTCAGGACTCCGGGGAGCAGGGGCTGGGCTGCACAACCCTCCGGGTTCTTTTGCGCCTTCCTTTAGCCACCTGAAGATGTTCCATGCTCCGGGCTCGTGGCTGGAGAGTTTTTCCGACTTCGGGTCATTAGCGTGGCCCCTGCTGTTGAGCTCTGGATTTGGTGGTGCCTGTGTTTGACCAACATCTTGTATTGGCTGTTTTGTCGTCCAGCCTTACCTGGTGCTTTTAACCCTAAACACTCTGGTTCTTGTCAAGAACTTAGAAATGATTCTTGTCTGATTTCAGGACAAAGGGGAACTTGTTTTTCAGACTGTTGTGTGGCACCTGATTAGGGTTCTGCAGGCTGTTTTCTGCTTCTGTTCTTCCTGTGCCTCTGTTTCGTAAGGAAGCCTGTCAGTTCCCTTGAGAATAGAGACCCGGCCCTGGCCAGGCAGCTCCGTTGGTGAGAGCATCCTCCCAATACACCAAGGTTGCGGTTCCATCCCTGGTGCGGGCACATACAGAATCAACCAATGAGTGCATAAATAAGTGGAACAGCAAATCAATGTTTCTCTCTCCCTCTCTAAAAAAAAATCAGTTAAGAAAATAAAAATTAAAGCATATAGACCCAATTCTCAGAGTTAACAGTGGAAGGAGAATCCCCAACTGAGTAACTGTGACTGGCCTGCCAGCCCCAACTCTTAGAAGATCTGTCCAATGGAACTATCTGGAATGGAGGAAATGTTCTAAATTTGCACAGTCCAGTATGGTAGCTACTGGCCACAAATGGCTAGTGAGTGCTTGAAATGTGGCTAGTGCAACTGAGGAGCTGATTTTCTAATTCCATTTCATTTAAATTTAAATAGCCTCCTTAATAGCACAGATCTAGGGCCCAGGGGGTTTACCTGCGGAGATGGACAAGAGGAGACAGGCTAGTAAACATCTCATCTCCCCACCAATTTCCTTAAATAGGGCCGTGCCCAAGTTCATGAAAAGAATCAAGGTTCCAGACTACAAGGACCGGAATGTGTTCGGGGTCCCCCTGACGGTCAACGTGCAGCGCACAGGACAGCCCCTGCCCCAGAGCATTCAGCAGGCCATGCGCTATCTCCGCAACCACTGTTTGGATCAGGTGAGAGCTGCTGCCTGCAGATCCCACTTAATCTCGGGAACTCGGGTGCGTGCTGCTTTTTCTAGTTCTGTAGTGAAGATGTTGCTTTCATCTTGACACACTGTTTTTTCCCAACAGGTCGGGCTCTTCAGAAAGTCGGGTGTGAAATCCCGGATTCAGGCCCTGCGCCAGATGAATGAAAGTGCTGTAGATTGTGTCAGCTATGAAGGGCAGTCTGCTTATGACGTGGCAGACATGTTGAAGCAGTATTTTCGAGATCTTCCTGAGCCACTAATGACAAACAAACTCTCCGAAACCTTCCTACAGATCTACCAATGTAAGTGTTCTTTGACCTTAACCCTGTTGGAGGTGGGAAGAAGTGCGACCAGCTGAAACCTCTAGCTTCCTTTGATGTCACTCTTTTTGGACCCACCTGTTGGCCTCTTGGAAACACGTCATCAGTTTCTTCCTTGCCCCTTTGTTTGTGGAACAGGTTTCTGTATACCTGTGGATTGCAAAAACAAATTCCCCTTGTCATCATTCTCTAATTACTGAAGCAATTGTACATTTTTACATTCTGATCCCGGAGCTCATTCTTTCATTGGTTTCTAGAACAACATTATCCAAGAAGCTTTTAAAAGGGCAAGTACCAAAATCTGTCTCTCCACCTTGTCTGTGGAAATTTCAGTTGCTCCACATCTCTCCAGCAGGACCTGTTGTGTTTAAAATTTCACAGGTGTCTGTATGCTTTATCTTGATGTTCAATGAATAAATAATCTTTTTCTGTTATTCTTCTCAGCTTCTGCCAGAAATACTTGGGAAAACAATACCCATGCCCCTCTCACTTTTAAGTAAAGCTTAAAGCAAACAGTTATCTAAATTAATGATCAAGATCAGAATTATAGCTTTTACAGCCGTGTGTTTTTCTTGGCTCCGTGTAGTGTTACAGCAATGTAACTTGAAAGCAGCTTCTCTTAGTGCTCACATCGTCTTTAGCTGGCGCATTGGACTTTGTTTTATGAGAAATGGAGCTGGTCTGGATTATTTCATTATTTGTTTCATCCTTTCATATTTTATGAAAACACAGGTCACATTTTCCCCACCAAGGTATTTGTTATGTACTGTAACCATGGAGCTGTTTAATCGGTTTGTCCTATGGCGCTGCATTTGAGTGACTTGATTTTTCCACCACATGCCTTTTTAAAAGAAAGATTTCCCTGGAAAAGGAGACCTGAAGGTTGGGTCCAGCATTTTCTACATGTGTCTTACTTTATGGGTCTAGTTCTCAAGCTTGTATTTTTATAATAGCCTCTCAGTAGGCTTTCTAAAACTTAGAGAAATCACTAGTCAGATACGCCTGTGGTTTAAATCGACTGAAAATTGGAGCAGCTTCCTTTTCCCATTTCAGGAATGAGCAGATCAGTTAAAATTATGAAAGTCCCCAGAGATACTGAACTGAGCATTTTTGTAGGAAAGACAGAGACATCTCAGTTCTTAACCCTCTTAAACATCTTAGATATTTCATTGACATGGAACAAAAGTGTACATGTGTAATATTTTCAGTAATTGAGAATGGTAAATTAGGAATTTCTAAAAAGTACTTAGCAAAGAAAAAGTGTTCTGTAAACTAAACAAGCAGGCCTCGTCTGGAGTTGAATCCGAAGGTGGACTTAGGAGTATATTGGCATTGTGGGTGTTTAAAATATTTTACCTCCTCCACCGGCAGGAAATACTTGAGGGTAGTGACGCCGGTGCAACCCTAATTTCTTCCATATTAACCTCGAGTACACTTTCTGCAAGTGCTTGTTCAGGCCTGGGCTGAGGTCTTTGATGCCGATGTGTTTGCTTTGGGACGTTTCCTTGCGATGTACATGGAAAATCACTGGGCTGACGGGGAAAATGCTGGTGTTGTGCAGATGTGCCCAAGGACCAGCGCCTCCAGGCGATCAAGGCGGCCATTATGCTCCTGCCCGACGAGAACCGGGAGGTTCTACAGACGCTCCTTTATTTCTTGAGTGACGTCACGGCAGCTGTGAAGGAGAACCAGATGACTCCGACCAACCTGGCCGTGTGCTTGGCGCCCTCCCTCTTCCACCTCAACACCCTGAAGAGAGAGAATTCTTCCCCAAGGTACAGTCAGAGGTGCGCACGGGCATGCGCCTCCCTCTCCTGGGGTTGTCCCCGTGTCCGCGGGATTCGTACCCAGGTCAGGCCCAAAGGCGGTGGACCTTCATCCTTCACAGCCCATGAACCTCTCCTGCCCTCCTCCCTCCTTTCTTCCTAGCCCAGGAGGTGTGACTTCCCAGCAGTCTAGTTATAGGGGACAGATATTCACTCCAGTGCTACCCAGTGCCCTCTGTGACACTGTCATCATATTCTGCCATCAGAGTCACACAGACTTACTGGCCTGAACAACTGCGTCGGGGGTGAGAGCCCTGCTGCCTTGGCTTCTGCGTGGCCAGCAGAGCACAGCTCCTGGCCTGTGCCAGGCAATTGAAGGGAAGTAGCCGGATCTGAAGGAACTAAGAAAAGGGTTGAGCCTCTCAGTTAGGAACTGGTCAAGCCAGTGATTTGCAGAGTTTCTCCTTAGATGTAGGCGAGGTGGGAGTGGCTGTAGAAGAAGTCGGAGAATCTGGAAAATAACAAAGGCTGGTGTTTGCTCAGCACTTGCTCTGTCCCAGTCACGGGACTGCACCCTTGACATTCATTAAATTCTCATTTAATCCTCATAACAATCATAGGAGGTGAAGATAATGTTGGTATCTGTTTCACTTAAGAGGAACCTGGGGTTGCAGGGAAGGTCAGTTAAGTAAGTAGCTGGCCCGTGTCTGAAAAGAAGAAATGGCAGAGCGGTTGGAGCACCTGACTTCTGTGAATATTTCTTGTGAAGATGTGTGTAGAAAACAGTCACGAACTGGACTGGCCCTACGTGCCAAACCCATCCAGCTGATCCTGTTCCTTCGGCTCGGGAGGAACTTGGCAAATGTTTCTCAGCTAGAAGCATGGGGCCTCGCTGTGCTAGTTGAAGCCACACAGTGCTTCAGCATCCTTTAACTAGTTCTGGCTGTTGACTAGGCTTCCAGCTTTGATGGGACCAAGGACAGAGATGAGCCTAGAGAGAGATCAGATAAGATAAAGGCAAGACCTTTAGGAAACAATGGATTTTCCCCTCACCTTTGGGAGGGGTCCTGTTTATTTAAACTGGGAAGAATAGTGACACTATCTACCTCGGTGTCCAATGCCTCCCATCCACGCCCCTCTCTTAAGCTGCCTTTCTCCCTTCCCACCACACTTACATAGACCTTACAAGCTGCCCTATTTAAATAGGAACCTATTTACTATAATGGCTTTAAACAGCCTAGATTTCATTGAAAACAGTCTCTTTCATGTTTTTTGTGTGTTGATAAAATTGAAAAACGCTAGTGACTAAAGTAAAGCACACTTTAACCCTTGAATTACAGAGAGGCTCCAGTGGGGCGGTTTATTTCTCTCCTTTGGATTCTTTGACTAACACATTGATTTTAAAATACGCAAATATTCGAGTCTTTCCCCTCCTATTTCTTCTGTGCAGGGTAATGCAAAGGAAACAGAGTTTAGGCAAACCAGATCAGAAAGATTTGAACGAAAACCTCGCTGCCACTCAAGGGCTGGCCCACATGATTGCTGAGTGCAAGAAGCTTTTCCAGGTACGGAGGTGGGGGGATTTTGCTGTTTGTTAAGGGTAATGTGAGTAGAGACGAAATCTTCAGTGCAGCACTTGTTCACCTCCTACCAAGAGGTATTTTCCCCAGCTGGACATTATATACATAACCCGAGTGTCTTACTACATATATTATAATGTATAAGTTCATTAGAGTTAGTATGTTTAATGAAATTGCCGACCTCCATACCCCTTAAAAAAGCAACAAATTACCTGAAATAAATTCTGTATCTGAGACACGTGTCTTCTTCACTATAAGCCCTATTTAGTCATTTACCCTGCTACAGTGACTTTTCAGATACCTTACATGAGAATAAGCTCTTTAGATACCTTTTTATGAAGATTGATTGTTTCCTCGTGATACCGTGTGAGGTGGGTAGGGACATCCTCCATCTGTTGGGAACAGGTATTGGACTGTGCCACCCCGAGGGTCTAACCCATTGTTTGTGCTCTGATGCTTCCATTGATGGGCAATGAGAATGGACACAGGCGGATCAACCTCCTTTTGGTCTCCTGTCCCTCACAGGTTCCTGAGGAAATGAGCCGATGTCGCAATTCCTACACCGAGCAAGAACTGAAGCCCCTCACTCTAGAAGCATTAGGACGCCTTTGTAACGACGAGTCAGCTGACTACCAACACTTCCTCCAGGACTGCGTGGACGGCCTGTTTAAGGAGGTCAAAGAGAAGTTTAAAGGTTGGGTCAGCTGCTCTACCTCAGAGCAGGCCGAGCTGTCCTATAAGAAGGTAAGTCATCTCCCTGTTGTCAGCCGTTGAGTTCCAGGGGTCAGGGCTTGGGTTCATCAGAGATGAGATCCTGTTACCAACACAGCTCTCCGTGGGGATCTGGCACCCATTCCCTTTTTAGCAGAGCTGGGCAGCCAGGTGATTCAGATTCCCCAGGTAAGAGCGGAAACCAGCCCAGTGAGGAATACTTACCCAGCACTCGTCAGAGGAATCAAAACAGCTAATGCAGTGCTCCCACAGAATCACACTAGAGTTCCCTGGAGTGTTTCTCTAGTGGTATTGGGCTTTAGGGCCTTATGTAACCTGCCTAGACTTTTAATTTGGTCAGAATCCCCTTGCACACTCCACTCTACACTCTTTGTTCTTTTTCTTTTTTTAATATATTTTTATTGATTTCAGAGAGAGGGAGAGAGGGATAGAAATGTAAGTATGAGAGAGTCATTGATTGGCTGCCTCTGCACGCCCCCTACTGAGGATCCAGCCTGCAACCCGAGCATGTGCCCTGACCAGAAATCAAACTGTGACCTCCTGGTTCATGGGTCAATACTCAGCCACTGAGCAACACTTGCTGGGCTCCACTCTGCTCTTGGCCCTTTGAAGAGTAGGAAGCACTTGGGGGAGAAATTGACTTGTTGGGACTGAAAGCCCTATGAGGGCAGACACATGTGTTGTGGTTTAGCAGGTATTTGTTGATTCTGTCTCCACCACCTTGAAAAGAAATAAGACCGTGAGGGCAATTTGGATGGCCATGCAGGCTTTGGGGTGCAAATAAAGGGTCCTACTTTATTTCACTGACCCTAATATGGGTCCCAGGAATATAGATGGAACAATTTTGACCTGAAATGACACCACTGGTTCTGTTCACTTTCTGGTCTAACCCTGGAATGTACTTGGGGTGGCAGCCTGTTAAAGCCATAGGTAATTATTAGCCTCCAAACAGATGACCATATACCCAGCTAGTGATTTGCCTTTATTTTTTTTTTTAAATATGTCTTTATTGATTTCAGAGAGAAGAAGGGAGAGGGAGAGAGAGAGAAACATCAGTGATGAGAGTCATTGATCGGCTGCCTCCTGCACGCCCCCTACTGGGGATTGAGCCCGAAACCCAGGCATGTGCTTTGAATTGAATGAACCAAGATCTCCTGGATCCTAGGTGGATGCTCAACCACTGAGATATGCGGGCCAGGCCGGGCGTGATTTGCCTTTAAAGTCTAGGTGTGTGTATGGATTGCCTTAGCACTGAAAAACACATCCTCTTTTCAGGTGAGTGAAGGACCTCCTCTGAGGCTTTGGAGGTCAACCATCGAAGTCCCTGCTACCCCCGAGGAAATCTTGAAGCGCCTACTTAAAGAGCAGCACCTCTGGGATGTAGACCTGTTGGATTCAAAAGTGATTGAAATCCTGGACAGTCAAACTGAAATTTACCAGTATGTTCAGAACAGTATGGCACCCCACCCCGCTCGGGACTACGTCGTTCTGAGGTGAGAGCTTCCAAATTGATTATTGTAGTGAGGACGACCTGTATGTCACTGAATATTATGAGATGGTAAAATTACTGCAAATAAAATGTATGCCTCCATAAAAGTGTTGAACCCTTGCAAATATGAAAAATATATCTACTTTTATTTCAATAGTGTGTTCATTCCTGAAATGGTTTGGACTCTTTCAAAACTGATCTCAGAAAGAGAGGTGCATTTAATTGAATATGCTCCGTGGTAACAGATTCTTGCCCCTTTTAGGATAGATGTCCTAGGTAGAAATAGCTGATGGATGCATAAGCCAGGAAATAACATTCAGTTCCAAGTGAGCTATGGTTGAAGCTGATTTATATCGAATTCATAATTCTCTGGAGACATTATTAAAAGAGGAATTCCAAGAATCTTTGAAGAATTGTCACATCATTTGTCCAGAACTTTTCCAACAGAGCAACCCTCATTTGGATGTTTATCCTCTCATACAGCTGTGAAATGTAAAAATGGTTTTCGTCACACTTCAGATTGGTTCTCCTCAAAAGAGCTGACTATGTTGAGCATAAACACCCTTTGGAGACGTGGCTCTGTACAGAGCTATCATTCAGGAGTCCTTGCACAGTAGTGGAGAGGATGCCGTCCACACAGGGCTGGGTCACACAGCACGGCCACCCATCCCGTCCTTCAGCTGACTCTAAGATTAAGGCCCCATTTTCAACTTGGCTTCCGGGAAATTTTCTTTTTTCCCTCTGGTTTTGTCTCTACAGGACATGGAGAACTAACTTACCCAAGGGGGCCTGTGCCCTTTTACTCACATCCGTGGATCACGACCAGGCACCTGTGGTAGGGGTGAGGGCCAACGTGCTCCTGTCCAGGTATCTGATCGAACCCTGCGGGTCAGGGAAATCCAAACTCACCTACATGTGCAGAGCTGACTTAAGGTACGTGTTGATTCTGATTTTTTGACATGGTGTGAGGGTCATGAAGAAGATTTGAGACTTTTTGTCAGATGCAAAGAATGGCTTAAATGCATACATGTTGTATCTTGGTTACTCCATGAAGAGTGGTGCTTATTAAGTAACACCTTCCTATTTCTTGGCCTTTGGATACCACATCCTAACTTTGATCCTTTAGAAAATGTGGCACTAAAGTAGTGTGGATATGGTGGTTCTGCCATGAATTTAAAGCCACAGGAAATGCGAGTTTGGACAAACAAGCAGATGTTTCTCATTTTACAGTCAAAGGTGTCCGAATAATGTGATATGCCCTTTTAATAATTCATTGGGCCTATAATCTTTTCTGTGGACCAATGTGTATTAGTATCAGAAAATTAGTGAAATGCAGCATTACAGACAAAAACAAACGAACTTCTGGCCCTGGCCAGTGTAGCTCAGTTGATTGAAGGTCATCCCTTGCACCAAAAGGTTGCTGGTTCAACTGGTCAGGGCACATGCCCAGGTTGTGGGTTCATTCCCCAGTCAGGGTGCATAGGAGAGGCAACTGATCGATGTCTCTCTCTCTCTCTCTCTCCCCCCCTCTCACCCTCTCCCCCTCTCTCCCCCNATAGTTACCAAGGTCTGAGCTCCTGCAGGAGGCAGGATGTTTACGCTGAAAGTGTGTTTGTGCAGCCTGGAGAGAACTACTTTGTATCGGGCAAGGGGAAGAAACGCGGGGCGGGGTGCTATTCAGCAAAAACAACAGCGCCAGTATAAATTGAGCTTGGAAAATAAACTCGGGGCTGCAGCCCTCACGAGCTGCAGTCCTCCCGATCCCATCTTTTTTGTGTCTGTCTTTTCACCATCCTCACCCCTACTCTCGGGACCATTCAACTGTGCCGGCGGGCTCCGGCACACCTGCTCATGCATTTCTTTTGGCCAGTACATGAAGGCAGAAGGATCAAATACTGGGGTTTGGTAACAGATATATGGTGATGATGGTTTGCACAACAATGTGAATGTATTTCATACCACTGAACTGTACACTTTAAAAATGGTTAAGATGGTAAATGTTATGTGTATTTTACCACAGGTGTATACGGAAGGCAACCGATCAATATTTCTCTCTCACACATTGATGTTTCTCTCTCTCATCCTCTCCCTTCCTTTCTCTCTAAAATCAGTTTTAAAAAAATTGAACCTCTGAAAACTCTTTTCAGGTGGCTCTCGTGTTAAATAAATTCCCATTTGAATCTTTCCATCTCAGTACTTCTCCAGGTATCTGTGTGCTCTGTTGTTATATATGCCCAAAGTTTTCCCTGAACAGTTTTACTGAGTATCTGCACTCAGTACGTAGTTTCTTGAGAAACTTCTAGTTCCAAGTGTGTGATGGAGGAGCTAGGAGCTTACATTGGAGTAATACAAGTAATCTTTACTTACACATTTGCTGATCAAGAAGTGGAAGTCTCTTTGCAACTCCAATAATTCATCTGCTTTTCCTTTCTGTCCTAGGGGCCACATGCCAGAGTGGTACACAAAGTCTTTCGGACATTTGTGCGCAGCTGAAGTTGTAAAGATCCGAGACTCTTTCTGTCATCAGAACACTGAGAGCAAAGACGCCAAATCCAGGTGATCACTGAGGCAGAGCAGCCATGTCCACCATCCGGGAGTTTGTTTCCGGAACCCTTGCCAGTCCTTGGAAGAACGGGTTCTGCGTCTAATTCTGAAACAAGACTACAAGTTGGAGTAGAGGAATTGACTTTAGCTGTTTGATACATTTTTAAAGCTGCTTCCTGTTTGTTTAAGGTCTGTGTTAAAGACCTTGACTGGAATATATGACTGTGCAAAAAAAAAAAAAATGTATTCTTACGCGAATTGCTTCTGAGAAGCAAAACTCTTATAAATACATTATGGAAGATGATGAAGATACTTCATTCTCTTGTGATACTGGTGTATGTGTACCTATGTCATTTTGTTTGCAGCGTGTTGAGGGACTGGTGTAGCCACTGGAATAGTTGGTACTCTTTGACATGTTTTCTCACTGAGATGAGCAGAGAAAGGTTTGCACAGAGAAGTGTGTGTATGTCTGTTTGTTGCTGGTTGAATGGCATAGATGTGTAAGTTGGGATGCAGTGTCTGGCACACTGAGATGCATCCAAGAAGGATTTTGATGTATCAGATTCAGTTTAACCTGAAATATCTGACTACCCATGGATCCATCCAGAAAGGGAACCCTTTTATTTTGGGGGGTTTGGCAGCCTACCCTTGTCCATTTATTTTTTATGTTTTATTAAACAGAATCCTCTATCAACCTCTCCTTTACCTGAACAGTAATTGTAGTAAATTTACTCTGATAGCCCATTTCAAACACAGTTTATCTGCAGATCCAGTTGCAAATAGTGATGTTGTTTTTAACCAGGATAGATTAAAGGGATGAAAAAGAACTCCCCCTTACTGGTTCCAAAGCACAGTTTTGCTTTGTTTTTTCTAAATAGTTGAGATGTAAAAACTGAACACTCTATCGTTTACTCCTGAATCAAGCATCAGAATGTTTTACTTGTCTGAATTCTTTGCATTTTCATGTGTATCACAGAAACTCTTTAAGACACGCTATGTATGGGAACATAGGAAGCTAAGTATGTCTCAAGGAAATCCCTGTAAATATAACCCAACCACAAAAGTTGTTGTTATTAACAGTATTTCTGAAAGCTTAACAGGCTTATTAATTGGATTTACCCTTAACAGCAAATAGGTTTTCTGGTTTTATGATTTTTTTTTTTTTTTGCTTTGATTTTCCTATATTTTCTTTTCTTTTCCTTTATAATGATGCCCTTGGAATATATTTTCATGGTGATGGCAAATAGGTTTCATAGTAAAAAACAAAAGCAAAATCCCAGCACAGTTTTTTGGAAGGGTGGTCTTTATACAGGTTTTACTGTAATGGTAAAGGTTGACTTAAGAGACAGTATTAGTGAATTTATTTAGCATGGATCAAAGTGAATAACGTATGAATGAGGGTTGTAAGAAGGATTTTTATTTTGTTTTAACATAATTTAGCTACCATTGTCAGTGTTATTTCAAAGGTTCTTTGAAGAATTGGTGGGGCTGGATTAGAGTGTTAAAATTTGAGTATTTTGGATATCAGTGTTTTTCATGAAGATATTCTTGTATATTCAATTTTAATGGCTTTCAGATTTGTAAGATTGTATGTTGTATATACCATTCTATTAAGACACATGTACACATGTCCACTGTGCTTTCAAAACATAGATTAAGCATGATAAAGATTATTATTTAAAATATACTTGTATTTATACCTCAGATATTCTTTTGGGTTTTGTACCTCAAGGCTTTTTTTTTTCCTAATGTAAATACACTTTTCATGAATACAGTCTAAGAGAAAAAAGTAAATAAAAGAAGAGGTTTATATGTGCTCTGTATCTGTACAGAATATAATCGATAAGTGCACTATTAAATGTTTAAGGGAAAAGTCTGGCCTGCTCTCCTTTGCATTGCATCTCACTACCCCCCCTCCCCCCCCCGAAAACCTCAGACTGCAAGGCAGATCATTCTAGCATCAACCAAAGTGAAAGCGTGGAGTTGCTGAAGGGAAAATCAGACCGTAAATCATTCCAAGGCCAAACTGCAGCTGAGCCACTCGCTAACAAACAGGAAACCTGGTGAAGGTTCGGGAAGCGTGGAGATGCTCTCCAAAGGTCGTTAGGAAATGATGCCGAGAAAGTTACAAGAACAAGCAACAGCTACAGAAAGATGCTCATAAGCAAAGCCAAGGTCGCCGATTCATTCCACAAAAGGCCGCTTTCCCACTGTTTGGCCTTCCTGTTGAAAGGATTTCCATGTCCAACAGGAGATTTCAAAGGACGTGAACATTTGCAAGAACTCTGCTTACTGTCGCCTAGAGTGATATTGCCACAATTCCTCATTGTGACTAGCGGCCTAGATTGTACGCTCTGAGAGCAGGGCTCTTCTCCAGCACATCCTTAGACTCCCCTACAGCAGCTTTCAGTGTTTGTACTTGTAGGCACCTAATAAATTGATTACTTGCTAAATGGGATTCATTGAATTTGCTTCTGTTACTTGAAAAGAGAATCCAGGGTGCCACCTATCTTAAGCCCTCCTTTTGGCTCATCACTGCCCGTTTTGTGATTGAAGAGACTGGAAATTGTTAAACCTCATGGAATCTTAAAGTTCAAACTAGGAGCACACTGCCAGCCACAGGACTAAAAGAGACAGGCCACCTCCCCCTCCCAGTCTCCTTTGTTTAGGAGATCTTGATTTTGGTAACTGACCATTTGGGCTACTTGCTTTTTTCTCTTCACTGTGCTTTAAATTCTTGCCCTTCTGTTTTAAATTCACCAATAAAGAGTAAGCCCTACAGCCCAAGTGCCCATCAGTAGCTGAGTGGATAAAAAAGCTGTGGGACATGTACACACATGGAATACTACGCAGCTGTAAAGAAGGTTCTTGTACCCTTTGGGACAGTATGTATGGACCTGGAGAAAATTATGTAAGTGAAATAAGCCAGGCAGAGAAAGACAAACATCACATGATCTCACTTATATGTGGAATCTAAAGAACTTAATAAACTGATGAACAGAATAGATTCAATGACATGGAAGCATAGATGAGACTGACAAATGTCAGAGGGATGGAGGGGTGGGTGGAGGGGGGGAGAGTAACCGAAGAATTTTTATGTATATATGCACAACCCAAGGACACGGACAGTGCTGGGGAGGGGGGTGGGACAGGGTAGAATGGGTCATTGGGGAGAAAAAGGGACGTCTGTAATATTTTNGGGGTGGGTGGAGGGGGAGAGAGTAACCGAAGAATTTTTATGTATATATGCACAACCCAAGGACACGGACAGTGCTGGGGAGGGGGGTGGGACAGGGTAGAATGGGTCATTGGGGAGAAAAAGGGACGTCTGTAATATTTTAAATAAAAGTTTAAAAAAAAAATAAGCCCTGTGGCCCTGGTTGGGCAGCTCGGTTAGAGCATTGTCCCAATATACCTAGGTTTTGGATTTGATCCCTGATCAGGGCACATACAAGAATCAACCAATGATTGCATATATAAGTGGAAGAACAAATCAAGGTTTCTTTCTCCTTTCCTCGCTCTAAAATACATCAATTAAAAAAAAAGCCCAGGAAACCCTAGACCCCATGTCTACTCCAAAAAAGGCAGGACCCCAGGATCTCTCCACCCCCACCACTGTGTGCCCCCTGGGTGCCTTGTATGCTCCAGGGCCTGTCATAAATGTTATTTTCTTCAAAGTCACCTGATGGTTCTTGCTGAAGAGCACCTTGCAGCGGTAATAAGAAACCCAAGTGTTGGCGGGTTGTCACATTGGTTTAGAAAGGGGAGATGTCCGTGGGAATCTCATGGCCCAAGTGAGTGCCCCATGCATTTGAGCCCATAGCATCACTACAGATAGGCTGTATTGGGCACAGTGCATTGTGCTAAGACCTTATGACAGCTATGATGTCACTAAGTGGTAGGTATTTTTCAGCCCCATCTTAATTTCCCACCACACAAGAATCTCATGAAGTACAACTGAGATATCTGTGAAGGTGCTTTATAAGGCGAAGGCAGTTGTAAGGTAAAGGAGCGAATGTGGGAATTGAGCCCAAACGCTCTACCTCCCCTGCCTGTTGTAGCATACACTGATGATTATAAAGCAGAAATCCTAAGCAGTGAGATAACAACATGCATGTCATCTTGGTGTTCCATCAGGATGAAATTAGCCTGAGGAATTTAGATTCCATTTGCCTAAGGAATGCAAATTACAAAAGACCTCAAAGAGCCTGTGGCACAGGAGGCTCAGGTGGGTCCAGGTAGTTGCAACGAATTTGGGTCCATTCTCCGGAGGATGCTCAGTCCTTTGCAGGCAGGGAGTTTGCTAAATAAGTTGGCAGCCGTAGCCCAAAGTAATTACCTTTGCTGTGTATACACAGTTCCCATTAGAGGAGCCGGTTTGCCTGTCTGGGCCCAAGGCTGTGTTGACACCTACAGTATAAATAAATACCTCTGCAGAGATTTTCCATCTCATTGGACTTAAAAAAATGAATTAGGGCTAGAAATGTTGCTCCTCATAGGGAATTTTCATTCCTTTCTCTTATTAAGGTACAAAACATTGCTCTAGCCAGTTTTCCTCTGGTTAGAGCATCGGCCAGAATGGTCTGGGTTCGATTCTCAGTCAAGGGCAGAGCCCGGCCCCTGTCGGGGTGCGTCCAGGAGGCAACCAATTGATGTGTCTCTCTCACATTGATGTTTCTCTCTCCCACTCTGTAACGGAATGGGAAAAATATCCTTAGGTGAGGATTAGAAAGAAAAAAAGATACAAAGCATCATAGAAAGCAAAACCCTTACTCTCCTTATGACTCTGAGAATGGCTCTCGTCAACCATGATGAGTGACTTGTTCCCATAAAAATAGTCTGATTCCCAAGGAAATTGTTTCAAAAGGCGTTGTAGGTTATAGGTACTTTTAAAATACAAATGTGTTTGGTGCCAGGCTGAGTGGACTTGTTCAGCAACCATTTATTACCCATTATAATGTGCCAAGTACTGGGATGTATGCTTTACATACAGTTAATATCTCATTTAAATTTTATAGCAGACCTTTGAAGGAGACCTTATTAGCCTCGATTTATAAGGAAGCAGTTTAAAGAAGGAGAGAAGCATAAAGAAACAAAGTAGTGCCCTAGCCGGTTTGGCTCAGTGGATAGAGTGTTGGCCTGCAGACTGAAGGGTCCCAGGTTCGATTCCAGCCAACGGCATGTATCTCAGTTGCAGGCACGATCCGGGCCTGGCCGGGGTGAATGCAGGAGGCAGCCAATCGATGTGTCTCTCTCACATCGATATTTCTCTCTGTTTCTCTCTCTCTCCCTTCCACTCTCTCTGAAAAGCAATGGAAAAAATATCCTTAGGTGAGGATTAAAAAAATAAATTAAGTAGCTATATAATATTTGCAAAGGGACTCAAGAAACTCTAGAGCAGCAGCGTATGAGAGAACATTTTGTCGTGATGGGTATGGTCCATTTCTGAGCTACCAGGGTAGCCGCTGGCCTATGTGGCTGCTGAGCACTTGACATATGGCTGATGTGACAGAGGAGCTGAATACTTAATTTTATTCTATTTTTATTAGTTTAAATTAAAATAGCGACATGTAGCTAGTGGCTTGTACAAGTTGTATTTCAAAGATTGAAGAACATTTCTAAGCAATCCAAGCCCTATAGTCTTCCATCTACAGTCTCTTTTTAAAAAGAAAGAAAGATGGTAAATACTTGTAAAATTCGAACTGGGCCCATTTCAGGTGAGATAACTCACTCCACATTCCACCAGCCACAAGACTAAATCTGTGCCTCCCCCAGCCTATGGCCAGCTTCTGCGGCTCTCGGGCCTGAATTGATGAGCTCTTTTCTTTGCTGCTAGAGTATTTGTACATGTCCAAACTAGAGATAAAGCTGTAGCTGATATGAAAGAATGCTTCATAATTCAGAGTGTTCTCCTCAGCTCACTGCAAGCAAAGGGGCCGTCACAGATGTTGCTGTTCCAACAACCACAATTGTCCCTTTGTGGTCTGTGCCTGTCCCCTCAATTTCGTAGTTCTGATGCAGGCGGCTTCCTTTCATGTTGGTGAGACTGGTCACTGCAGCAGCTGTCAGAGCCCTTCAATGATAGTTTTTATAAATTGAAGTATAATTGATAAATTATATTCATTTCAGGTGTACAACACAGTGATTCAACATTTGATGACACTGTGAAATGATATCCACAGAAGTCGAGTTACCATCTGTCACCATTCAAAAGTTGTACACTATTATTGCCTAAATTCTCTACACTGTACATTGCACCCCCGCGGCTTACTCATTTCAGATCTGGAAGTTTGTACCTCTGATTCCCTTCACCTGTTTCGCATTCCTGACCTAGGTCTGATAAGCAGGAGGTGCCTGAACCCCAAACAGTGGTAGCAACTCTAAGACAAAGCTATACCTTCAATGGTGGATTCTAGCGCTTTTTTTGCCTCCAGAGGACTCTTCATTTTATTTAACATGCTCCGCTCTTTTTCATTAGACGTATTAAACGGTATAACTTGAATTAATGTACTTCTTTTCTTATTTTCACTAAAGATACATATTATTTATAGCTGCTAATCAAGGCTAGAAGTCTCTTAGAAAGAAGTGTGAAATAACTTATTGGCACATGATCTGAGAATGTTCTCAATGAAAAGCAACACGGAGGCTTTTAAAGCTAGAGACTATCCAGGGCCTCGGCACCTCCCTGGAAGCTCCGGGAGAATGACTAGTCTGTAGCTTGCAGGTTTCTCGCCCTGTTCGAGCACTTAGCGCAGGACATAATGAATCAGGCAATGGGGGATTCACCGTCACGTGCTAGAGAAACTAGTTTGCCTGACTTCTAGGGCCGGCTGATAGGATGTATGTTTCCAATAACAGAGATAAACTGAGCCCTGTTCCGTTGCAGTATTTCAAAATGTAAAAATATGAATAGATTGCTGGAAATCAATCCAAGAAAGCAGGAAATTGAAAGTTCACACAGCCCGTAAAGATTATTAAAGCAAGAAGAGATTTGAACCCCCTGGGACCATACAAAATGTTGCAGTATCTCAAAGAGCTAGAGAATATTTCACCCCCTGGACCCAGAAAACTGAAGATGGAGTATGTTGTCCTGCCATGTCGTGCAAAGGAAAGAAGCTGAATTTCCAGAAGCAAAGCAACCTGGCTGGTAAGGGCATAGCTGTTTGTTCGGTTGGTTGGTTGTTTGTTTTCTTCTCACTCGGGGATATTTTTTTGCCACTGAGAGAAATATCGATTGGTTGCCTCCCACGTGCACTCTTTGAGGGTCCAGGGTTCAAACCTGCAACCCAGGAATTCAACTTGAGACTTACCGGTGCACGGGAGGATGCTCTAACCACTGAGCTCACCAGCTGGATGGTTTTTTTGTTTGTTTCAATATGTTTTTATTGGTTTTTAGAGAGAAAGAGAGAGGGAGAGAGAGAGAAACATAGATCAGCTGCCTTCTGTATGGCCCCTACC